ATAACATAACATAAACACTCACGCCTGTCACCCAGAGGGGTAGGCAGAGATTATGGACTTCCATTTGGCACGATCCTGACACACCTCTCTCGCTTCCTCCACATCCATATACCTACGCATACACGCTCGTCGGTTAAAGGTACTCTTGATATGGCCAATTTTTAATATATCGCCAATTTGGTCGATAAACTTTCGCCTAAGGCGACCCTTCCCGACTATGCCGTTCACCTCTGCAACATAGATTTGCTTTGTCACTCTTTCCTCATTCATTCTTTCTACATGGCCAAACTACCGAAGCATTCCTTTCTTAATCCTGGTCACAACATTATCTTGCAAACCACACTCTTCTCTTATTAAACAATTTCTCACTCTGTCATTCAGCTTCATCCCTAACATACTCCTTAATGACCGCATTTCTACAGCATTTATTCTACTCTCATGCTTCTTCTGCCACACCCAACTTTCACTACCATACATTAAAGTAGGTACTAACACAGCATTGTGAATTGCCATACGTGCCTTTTTGGACACATTCTGACTTTTCACAATAGAGTGTAGAGTAAGCTTTAAAAGTTTTTAATTCGTATCGATTCGTGAATATTGCCCAAAATTTTGTGCCTCTCTTCTCTTGACCATTTCTGCAGCTAAATACCTGTGCTTGCACTAGTGTTTTGGTCTAAAAGTTGTAAAGAGCCTGTACGCGGGTTACACTGAAAACTTTGCGTAACGCAAAATAAAACAGTTTATATGCAAACTAATAATATATTTAATGTTTTTCAAAGTGCATTCTATACATTTCTCCATTACATTTTAAACATTCGTTCAAACGATTTCTGAAAACATAAGGACCATTGGTCAGACGGCATGTTTTTCACGTGCTGGTTAAAAGCCATCACGGCCTCTTCTGGCTCTGTAAATGTCAAACCTCTCATCAAATCTTTGGTAAATGGGAAAATAAAAAAATTGCTTGGTGCGAGGTCTGGCTCTGCGTTTTCTGTTCGTTTAATTTTCATTAAATATAGGTTATTACATAATACTTATTGAAAGTCATTTTTTTTTCACAAGTCAAAAATTGTATTGTTCGCGGCGTGCACCGAAGCATTGTCATATAGAATGCGATGTCTTGTTTGTTTTTCCCTAATTTTTTCAAAGACACTAGGCAAAAAAATGGTGATGTACAGGTGTACCACTCAGCACTAGCTGTTTTTTGTTCATCAAACGAGATCGTGGAGACAGTAGGAGCCGTTTGGGAGAAAATAACGCAATATTTTTTTTGTCCACGCTTCTTGCCTGGCCTGTAAGATCATTCGTCACTTCAGTTTTCAAAAAACAACATACTTTATACATGGTAGGGCCATGCTGCAGCTATATCAGTAGTATAGTTGTAGCACGAATGGGTCGGCTCGACCGGGGAAGGACCACGCTCTCACGGAATACCAGCGTAAAATAGCAGCTTAACGCTGCTGTGTTTCGTATGGTGAGTGTAGAGAACCGGAGACCTCTTTTACTGGAAACGAGGCATCTGCATTTTGATTCGTAGTTTATAGGATATGAATAGTTGATAGGATGGATATGAACGTCTATGGGCCATAGCAACTACTTACCATCAGGTGGACTGGGTGCTCGTTTGGCATCCATATCCGCTATAAAAATATTTTGTATGATAAAAGAATGTGTGCTTTAAAAACTTTTATTAGGTAATAAATATAAGTCTACGTAAGTATGGAACATTTTTCACAATGTTCCAATATTTTGAACGTGAACACGGAGTGTAGCTTGGCCCGCAGCTGCAAATCGCATTATAAGATTGCTGCTTTAGAAATTACGCCCTAGCATGTGGAATTTCTTATGAAATTCTGCCGTACTTTAAGTAGGTATGCTATGAATTGGATTAAATCGATTTTACTCAGTGTGTGAGCTCATTTTCTGCCTAGAGCACATAATCTGTCTGGGTAGATACCAATCATTTATATTTATATTATATATTATATATTTAAAAAAAATTGAAATTGAAAAAAATTGATACAAAATTAAGTTTTTGCAGTTTGCCTACTTTGGACGTACAATATTTTAAATAAACATTAAAGATTTTGACATTTGAAACAAAATGATTCTAAATTTTCAAATATAAAGTTTTTTAATTAATATAAAATCATTCATTACGACGATTCACTCATTTAAATGCAATTTAATTAATTCAATAATATTTAATTAATTACTTAATTTAAATTTCAAGTTAGTTCTCAGAGGTGAACGCACCTGCAGCCTCATTTGTTTGAAGGTATGAAGTTAGTTGCAGTTGAACATTGTACGTTCGTTAGTTATTTTTTTTTTAGAAAGAGGAGGCAAATGATCTAGCGGCTTACTTGATGGTAAGTTATTGCAAACTTGACTGCTTCGTTGGTCTAATTGTCATAAACACATGAGGTCCCGGGTTCGAAATCCGGATCGGGCCAAATCAGTTATTCGGTTTCTCTGTCAAGAAATTCTCAGTAGCAGCTCGGAGTCAGGAAGCTGGCGGTGTTCCACTCTCACACCTCGAAAAGCACGTAAAGGTTCCGCGTCTGATTTCCCTCCGGTCGTGTCAGATTACCGTCCTATCGGACTATGAGAGTGAGGGAATAGAGAGTGAGTGCACCATTGCATGCGCATACACTTGAGCATTATTATCCTGCCCTGGCTAGTCTCTGTTAAGACTGGCCACCGTGACTGAGATTCGGTTTTGAGGACATTACAGAACAATATTAGTTCTAGCGAAGGTTAGTATTTTCTGCCGACTTCCAAAAAGGAGACGGTACTCAATTCGACTGTATGTTTTTTTATGTGTGTTACCTCATAACTATTTACTGGGTGAACCGATTTCGATGTTTCTTTTTTGATTTGAAAGATGATACTTCTCGTGTAGTCTAATATGAATTTGATCAAGGTCAGACCAATAGTTTTTGAGTTATTCTTAATAACTTATATTGAAGCCGGCTGTACAAAATTTTTAATATTAAATTATTTTTAAAGAAGATCGTGTTAAACGATTAAGCGGCCTTAATCGTTATATATATATATATATATATATATATATATATATATATATAAATATATATAAGATACACCTATGAGACAATTTATGGAAGAGGCTTATGTTCAGTAGTCACTGACAATAAGTCAGTTTTTTTATAGACTGGCGAGACAAACGAGCATACAGTCCACCTGATGGTAAGTGGATGCAGTGGCCCATAGACATTTACATTTATCTTCTATTAAGTATCAAAATTTTAATGCGTTATCACCCCTGAGGACTACGATGGAATACCTCGTTTCCAGTAAAACTCACTCACTCTCACTCGAAAATCACTCACCATACGAAACACAACAGCATTTAGCTGCCATTTTACGCTGGCATTCTGCGAGAGCGTGGTCCTTCCCCGGTCGATCCGACCCGTTCGTGCTATAACCATGATTTTATTTTTATTATTATTTATAAATAAATAAATAAATAATAATAAAAATAAATGATATAGCTGCAGCGTGGCTCTACCACGTAATTAATTTTTATCACTTAAACATTGACAGTTCATTTACGAATACTAGGTTTTTGTGGTGTTTAATAATTCACGGATTCAAGTAAATAGCGCGTTACGAAAATCGTAGTTGCTACGCCGTAGTCATTGTTTTGTGTGTCAACAGTTTATTGACCAATTGTCCTCTACTACGGCGTAGGCTTATGTTATATTCATAAATTCTTGTCAACTGGAATACAAATAATGTCTACAAGCGTATAGATATAGCGTGCTTGTTGATTTGTCTAATGACTAAATACATTATTTAACGGGCATCTTGTGGGTAGGTAAACATTTGTTTGCTCAGTATGACTTTAATAATGTAAGTATTATGTGTTGTTTTTATAGGATAGAGTAATAAACGAGCACACAGTTCACCTGATGGTAAGTGGTTGCTGTGACCTATAGACATCTACATTTATCATCAATAAAGAATCAAAAAGCAGATGCGTCGTCACCCGTGAGGACTAAGTTGGAATGCCTCTTTTCCAGTAAAATGGGTCTCCGGTTCTCTACACTCAACATACGAAACACAGCAGTGTCAAGCTGCCATTTTACGCTGGTATTCTGTGAGAGCGTGGTCCTTCCCCGGTCGAGCCGACCCATTCGTGCTACAACTATACCAGTAATATAGCTGCAGCATGCTGCATGGCTCTACCACGTATAATGTCCTTCAATTTCCACTTATTTTATTATCATTACAGCCTATGAGGGCTAATAATCTTGTGCTCACCAGATGTCGCTAGTTGGGACTAAGGTGAACTTATTTATTATGCAGATGGTCAACAGTATCATCATCATTGAAAAGCTGCGATTAAATTATATATTTTCCGGTTTCTAGTGCATGTATACGTAAAATAATGCCCCTTTTAAATTCTTCTAGTTTCAATAATATCCGTAAATTGGACCTTTTTCTAATCGAATGCATTTAAAATGCAACAAATATTTCAGAAAGAAGCATTAATCACTACACTTTTCTAACAAATTAACTTCTCCCGCTATGAAATCTGTCAAATATTTCACCCCATTTATAAGAGATGCTGCCCTGGTAGCAGAAAAATCGTGGATGTCCTCATTAAAAGTCCACTGCTGAACATGGTCTTCCTCCATAGATTGTATCATTTTTCACTAGCTCGTAATAATCTACTACTGGAAGGAAGAAAGGAAGGATCATCCTTCATCGCAAAACGGTTGGCCGGTGGATTGGAGCTTGCAGTTGCAGTATTAAACGCCTCACATCTTTGCGGTTGTACCTCGTCACCGGTTTTGGTATTTGTAAACGAGAACCGGCTTAGTACTAACAGTAGTTTATAATTAATCTCAGGTGTAAGCTAGAGTGTATCAATAAAGAAGTTCCATGAAAGTCGCATATTGCGAACTAAAATATAAATTATACAATTTTGTTTGTATTTTGTTTTGGTATATCTATATATAGTTTATTTAAACTTAAGCCACCAAAGCAGATGCAGTGCTTGACTCATATTTCCAGTTGGGAGGGAGCACACTCTTTGTTTTGTAGTAACGGGTCAGCCTGTGAATTCTGGATTCAACAAGCATGAGTCTGAATTTGCTGTCCTTATCCTTCCTGTTCCTTTCTAAGTGCTTCCTCATTGCCACGGCCTTTTTGATCAGGTAGTACAGGTCCTCAGGTAGATCAGGCGCAAGCCCCATAGCCTTCATGATACGGAGAATCTTTTTGCCAGTGACAAATCTGACTTGGGCAACTCCATGTGAATCCCTGAGCATGATACCAATTTGGGATGGAGTGAGACCCTTTTTGCCGAGTTTGAAAATCTGTTCCTTAACATCATCAGCTGTCAGTTTTAACCAAGTAGGCAACCACACTGCAACGGTACGGCAATGCAGACTGGGAAACACCCTTACCAGGTGCGTGCATACGACCCATGGTTACGGCTTTAAAGAATATTCGCCGACCTCGGTACTTGAAATGAAAAACATGTGCTGAACGTATAAAATTTTAATCCAGTTACAAGAAACAACCAACCCGAGAGATTAGAAAAACCAATTTTTTGAAATTAAAGTAAACATTAGCAAACGAGATTGGTATGATTATTATGCGGCCCAATCAGAGTACAATTTGCCAGCAAATCATTGAAGTAATATGTACAATATACAAGAAATGACTGCCTCGTTAGTCTAGTGGTAGTGGTCCGATTGCTGATCATGAGGTCCCGGGTTCGAATCCCGGATCGAGCCAAAAAAATCACTTATTGAGTTTTTCCATCAAGAAATTCTCAGTAGCTGCCCGGAGTCGGGAAGTTGGCAGTGTCTCACCCCTCAGCATAAGTAGCTGAGTACGGGGTTATTTTGCAATAACCAGCCAAATTTGCAGAGAAGGTTCAGAATAAGTAATATAGGCAAATGCTGAAAAAAAATTATTAAAAAAAATCTCAAACATTCTGTCGTTTTCATCTTTTAAATTCAAAATAACTGGTAATGCATTATTTTAACTGCTGTTAAAATTGCGCGCGCTCACATTCGTAAGGGTCGATCGGTAGACAAAAACGTCGTTGCCCATAAATCACGTTCAATTTGGGATAATTTCAAATAAAAGTAGAAGCCTTATTTACTCGTAATTTCAAAAACTGCAATAATGGTATATCATTATTTTTATTATTGAACTTAATTTTAATATTTAGCTACTCTTTAAACCTGTATAATATGTAATCTAAAATCTAATGCCAAAACTAAAGTTACAGTTTATTTTATGTTTTACAATTGGGCACAGAATCGAGGCTTTCATTTCCATTGGGTGGCGGACTCAACTTCAAGTATATTATTCATCAGACATGTAGGTTTCTTTACAATGTTTTCCCTAAATGCTGAATCACTCAATTTCATTGGTTTTTGGGAGTGCTTGTGATCGTCAGTCACGATCAAGTAATCCACATCCAGTAAAATTAACTGCGAATGGTAATGGAATCAGTTTACATAACAAGTCTACTTGAAGCAAAAACTGAATTTTGATTCTGCCGTCTTGGTTAAGTTTGCAGTCGATATGGCCATTGAAGAAGAACCGTGGTAGCTCAGATGGTTAGTGCTCGCTGTAAGTTTCACATTACGCGAGCAACTCGGGTTCAATCCCCGCCTGCACCAATGAAATTGTTAATTGCTGCAATTTTAAGTGCTGATTTACCACGTGCTTGGCGGTGAAGGAAAACATCGTGAGGAAACTTGCATATCTAAGAAATAAGAAAACAAAATTATTTCGAAGACATGTGAAGTTCGCCAACACGCATTTGGGCAGCACGTCGGACATTTCCTTGCCCTAAAACCCTCTCAGAAATGAGAGGAGCCCTGTGTCCAGCAGTGGAACGTATATAAGCTGTAACTGTATGGCCCATTGGGTTCTAAGTTAATTAAATGTGTATACAGCCTTTCTTGATCTCACTATGGCATTTGACCTGGTTAGATATGATAATCTTTGGCGTAAATTAGAAGACACAGGTATGCCGGGTGGGTTGATCAATATTTTCAAATATTGGTATGAACACCATACAAACCAGGTCAGGTGGCTTGGTGAGTTTTCTGATGAGTACGGGTTGGAGTGTGGAGTGAGACAGGAAGGGGGGGGGGCTAACGTCTCCTTCTTTCTTCAACTTGTATGTGACTCGGTTGATTGTTGAGCTGAGCGACACAGGGGTCGGCTGCTCGATTGATGGTCACTGCATCAACAGTACCAGTTATGAAGATGACATGGAATTGGAGTTAAATTGAATTGAATTAAATCGTATAAGATTAAATTAGATAGATTAGATTGAATTGAATTAAATTAGATGAGATAAAATTTATAATAATGTAATGTTTTTTCTTATGTCACTTGTATGGACTCTGTCGGTAATAAAATAATTTTTTTTTATAATTTACCAGTCGACATCAGCCCACAATAAGTTGGTCAATTTTTTTAAAACATTTCACAGTATCTGAAGGCTAATCCCAGTCGGAGCCGCCATTTTGTGCGGAAAATATCATTTTTTTACTTAAATTAGGTTAGTGCTTAACTACAATCCCACGTGTCTGGTGTGTGAGAAATCGCACTGTCTTAACACAACAAATGTCTCTGAAAACTACCCCTTAGAATAGAATAGAATATTTTTATTCAATATACATTACATGTGTAATTCTTATTGAAAGTCATTTTTTACTTTACCACTGGTTCGAAAAAACCCTCTGTCCTGGGAAGAACCAGCAAGAAACCCAGCGGGACATTTTTTTAAAATAAATTTTACAATGTAAATGATTACGAACTATTTACAAAATTTATTTTAGAAACTGCTTGGAAGCGATCACCTCATTCCCAGGGGTTATTATCAACCATGTATTCATTTATACTATAATAACCCTTTTTATACAGTTTCAGCTTAATAAAACATTTAAACTTGGTAATAGAGAGAACCTGTACACTTTCCGGGACCTTGTTGTAATAGCGTATACATTGCCCCAAGAATGAATTACTGACTCTGTGGAGTCGAGAAACTGGTATCACTAGCTTGTGTTTGTTCCTAGTGTTTACAGAATGTATATCACTTCTTTTACTAAAACTATCTTTGTTTTTGTGAACATACATTAAATTTTCGTAAATATACTGAGAGGCCAAAGTTAATATATTAATTTCTTTAAATTTATCTCTAAGGGACTCTCTCGGTTTTAGATTGTAAATAGCTCTAATGGCCCTCTTCTGTAAAACAAAAATAGTTTCTGAATCAGCCGCATTTCCCCATAGCAAAATCCCATAAGACATTATGCTATGAAAATAACTAAAATAAACTAATCTAGCTGTCTCGACACTAGTGAGACCTCTAATCTTTTTTACAGCATAGGCTGCAGAACTTAGTCTGCTTGCTAATTTGGATATATGGGGGCCCCACTGTAGCTTTGCGTCAAGAGTGATGCCAAGAAAAACAGTGGATACAACAGGGCTCAATTCCTCCCCATTTAAAAACACATTGGTATTAAGATTTTTAACATTCGTTATTGTAAATTTAACACAATTAGTTTTATTTCCGTTCAAATGCAGATTATTAACGTTAAACCAATGCACTAATTTTGATATAGCATTATTCACTTCCTCACATTTAAATGATTGACGTTTAAGTTTAAAAATCAAGGAAGTATCATCAGCAAATAATACTATATCATGACTATCCCCTACAAGGTGAGGTAAGTCATTAATATACACCAGAAACAGGAATAGGCCGAGAATCGAGCCCTGAGGAACACCCATTAGTACAGGTGACCCGGAAGAACTTTTACCATTGATAATAACCTTCTGTTTTCTATTACTTAAATATGAAATAATAAGTTTAAGCGCTGTGTTCTTGACACCATAGTACTGTAGCTTCCTGATTAATATCTCATGGTGAACACAGTCGAAGGCCTTGGAAAGGTCACAAAATATACCCAAAGCATCCTCTGAATTCTCCCATGCACAAAAAATATGTTTAATAAGCTCAACTCCAGCGTCAGTTGTCGAGCGACCCCTTGTAAAACCGAATTGATTTTTATGTAGCAATTTATTAATATTGAAGAAACTTAACATCTGATCTAAAATAATTTTTTCAAAAATTTTACTTAATGTTGGTAGTACAGAAATTGGTCTAAAATTGGCGGGGTCTAATGTACTACCAGATTTAAATATAGGTATGACTTTACTATGTTTCATTAAATCAGGAAACACACCAGATTCGACGTTTATATTAAATATAGTGGCTAGATAAGGTGCTAATGTATCTATTATAGATAAAATAACTTTAACGGAAATCCCCCATAAGTCTGCCGTTTTCTTAACATCAATAGTTTTAAAATATTTAACGATATCTTTTGGCAGTACCCTATGGAATTTAAAAGTATTTGAACAAGCCTTTACATTTTGTTTGATCAATGATTCTGCGACAGTAGGAGAAGAATTTAATGATTTTGTTGTCAAAAAAGGAACATCAGTAAAATGTTTCTCAAAAGCCATAGCAACTTCTTGATCAGATCGCGTTAAATTATTTTTAATATTTAATTGAAAATCCGAGTTGCGCGGTTTGACCTTGCCCGTTTCACTATTTATTATTCTCCAGGTCATTTTAATTTTGTCGGATGCAGTTTTAATTTTGTTGCTTAAATGTAAAGCCTTAGCAGTGGAACACACTTTTTTAAATATTTTAGAATATGTTTTTACATAATCTCTAAATATAACACTACTATTATATGATCTTTCATCATAAAGCTCGTATAACCTTCGCCTACTTTTATAAATTCCTACTGTCGCCCATTCATTAAATGATTTGCGACTGTTAAGAGAGAAAGTTTTAGAAGTAAATATTCTACTCAATTCACAACGTATGATTTCAAATAATGTAGCATACAAATAATTAGCACTATTTTTAAACGAAAGTGATGGAAGTCTTTTTATTATATTACTTCTAAACCTCTCCAAGCGATGTTCATTTATTGGAACAAACACAACTTTCTTATTTTTCTGTTTTTTGTGTATGTAAGGTAGTGATACTAACTGTCCACAGTGATCTGAACTTAAATTTTGAATAATTGATTTATGCAAGGGCTTAACATCTGTAAAAATGTTATCTATACAGGTCGCACTAGGCCCAGCAACTTACGTGGTGGAGCCATGCTGTAGTTATATTGTGGTTGTAGCACGAATGGGTCGGATC